CTTTGCTGTGGCAGCTCTGCTAACATGGGACTTGTTCAGCTGTGTAGATGTAAGGCATTTGATACTGTCTCCCACAGCTTTCTCATAGATAAGCTAAGGAAATGTGGGTTTGATGATGAGGTAGTGAGGTGGATCAAGAACTGATTGGAAGGAAGAAGGCAGAGAGTTGTCGTCAATGGTGCAGAGTCTAGCTGGAGGTCTGTGACTAGTGGAGTCCCTCAGGGGTCGGTGCTGGGACCAGTGCTGTTTAATATTTTCATCAACGACGTGGACGAGGGAACCGAGTGTATTCTCAGCAAGTTCACTGATGACACTAAACTGGGAGGAGTGGCTGACACAGCAGAAGGCTGTGCTGCCATTCAGCGAGACCTGGACAGGCTGGAGAGTTGGGTGGGGAGAAATTTGATGAAATTCAACAAGGGCAAGTGTAGAGTCTTGCATCTGGGGAAGAACAACCCCATGTACCAGTACAGGTTGGGGACTGACCTGCTGGAAAGTAGCAAAGGGGAAAGGGACCTGGGGGTCCTGGTGGATAGGAGGATGAACATGAGCCAGCGATGTGCCCTTGTGGCCAAGAGGGCAAATGGCATCCTGGGGTGCATTAGAGAGGGTGTGGTTGGTAGGTCAAGAGAGGTTCTCCTCCCCCTCTATTCTGCCTTGGTTAGGCCACATCTGGAACATTGCATCCAGTTCTGGGCCCCTCAGTTCAAGAAGGACAGGGAATTGCTTGAAAGAGTCCAGCGCAGAGCCACAAAGATGATTAAGGGAGTGGAACACCTCCCCTATGAGGAGAGGCTGAAGGAGCTGGGTCTCTTCAGCTTGGAGAAGAGGAGACTGAGGGGTGACCTCATCAGTGTTTACAAATATGTAATGGGTGGGAGTCAGGAGGGTGGAGCTAGGCTTTTTTCAGTGATATCCAGTGATAGGGCAAGGGGCAATGGGTGTAAACTGGAGCATAGAAGGTTCCATGTTAACATCAGGAAGAACTTCTTTACTGTGAGAGTGACAGAGCACTGGAACAGGTTGCCCAGGGGGGTTGTGGAGTCTCCCACATTGGAGATATTCAAGGCCTGCCTGGACAAGTTCCTGTGTGAGGTACTCTAGGTTACCCTGCTCTTGCAGGGGGGTTGGACCAGATGATCTCTCAAGGTCCCTTCCAACCCTTGGGATTCTGTGATTCTGTGATGTGGGTATAAATGGGAAAGACCTTTTGGACCATTGCATTGAGTGGCTATTATCCACAGAACACCTGCTAGTATAGGGTTTGTTTGTGGGATTTGAGTCATACCATATACCTTTATGTGAAACTTTGTGCTTTGCTCATCCCTTAAGGAAAGAAAGTTCAGCATCATGACTTAAGTGTGAACCCCTACAGAAAGCTTGTCACTGTGGTCTGACATGCAGCATAGCTTTGGTCTATGACACAGCAGTTCCTTGGTGTGCTAGCAGTGCAAGTCGTTGGGCATGCAGGTGCATTCATTTCATTCTACTGAATTATGAATGACAAGATGTACCTTCTAAATCATAAATCACATTGGAGACAGTTTTCAAAAGAGAGACCGTATCCTTGGTGAAGTTGCAGATTAGCAGCTAATGGATCCTGTCTTACCCCATGTAATGGGTTAAATTTTGATCAATGAAACAAGCATTGCCCTAGGGAAATGCAGTTCTGGGGATCATCATTTATGTGTGAAAGAGGGAAATGGGCTTTAGAAAAGTCTTCTGTAGGAGGTGGGCTTGATCCAGCCCAGATTGGAAGTAAGGCTGATTCTTTTTCAACTGGCATTGGGCACAACCAGTCCTTCTCCATAAGGCAGAGCCAAAACATAGGTGTAACTTAAAAGATATGCATACTGGTTCAATAAATATATGTGCATGTGTTTAATTGTTCTTTTTTTATGAACCAGGGTCTTAATTCTGCTGGGATTTGCTGCCAGATAGTAAAAGATAGTACATCAAATACTGATTACACTTAAGCTTGTATGTTACTCTATTAATAAGATGATTTTATTGTCATCTTTAGCCTGCTAATAAATCTGGCTTTTGTAAGTTAATTTTCATGTAATTGGGATTGATGTTATTGAAGCTGTGGTGCTTTTTCATGGCACATTGAATCAAGAACAGGCTATCAGCAGAGCTTTTGTGGTACCCTGACAGCAGTATCAACAAATGGGCCATTTGTTCTACCAGTCTTTTTTTGGCGCTACTATCAAGTGGTGGGGAATACAAACAGAAGGTTGTTATCATGGCATCATCCTTGATTCCAGGCTCCTACATACGGGTACATGTGTCAATACACACAGGCACACGAAATACAGCGCCTGCATGGGCACTGGGTAGAAACAAATGGGTTATTCGAAGGGATTTCCCTCCAAGTTGTGATACTGGCTTAGCTTTACACATCACCCAGCAAATGCAGTGCTTATCCTTGGATAAGTTGCCTCAGAAAGCTTACTGGCTATTAGAAAATGGAGCTTATCTAAGCACAGCCTTAATGAGAGACTTCTTCATCCTTTGCATCATTGTTTCCATCCATTTGAAAGTGTGATCATCTGTGTAGGAGATGAAACTTCTCTTTGATGGCCTGCTTGTTTGGCATTCAGTGGTCTCAGGAGCTTCATAAACATTCAGCAGTTGAGCCTTCCTGTCTTCCAGCTGGTACTTTAGTCCTCTCTTGCTGGAAGAAAAGCTAAGCCACTGAGACTTTAAAAACTATGCTGACTTGTAGCAGGGACAATTTAGAGATTAAAAATTAAAAGTAAATTCAGGTATCATACTCCTCATACAGACGCTGTTTTAATTTTGGTGGCTTCAATGACTATGATTATGTATTTTAAAAGAGCCTTTTTCCATCTCTTCTGGCTCTGGAGGAAGCATGCAAAGTAAGTGAGGCAAGGGTGGGCAGGGGAGAAGTATATGTTTTAGTTTAACTTTTAGTACAAGTTAAGCTCTTAGAGCTTTATCTGGGAAATGACTCTGGGGCCAGGCATTGCTTGTGGTCAGGTGTATGTATCTGTGCTGACAGAGCCAGGGTGTGGAGACAGAGGCAAAGATTGCTCACATCCTTAAAACCCTACTCTGTTTTGGGGTGGAGTTGCCTCAAGAAGGGCTGCTAGGTTTATGGGCTCTGTTTCCTCTCTGCTTTTCTGGCCAAACAAAGTCTTTGCTGTGCAGCCCATCGACATGGATGAGGTGCTGCAACCAAAAGGATGTTGAAGAGCAGAAGGGGTACTACGACCACTGGTTTAAAAGAAGACAGCTGCTGCCACCCCATTTTGTAAGGGGCCATAACCTAGCCATGCATTTAACATATGTCTTGAAAGCTCCTGTTGGGGGTGGGGTTAATACAACTGGGGAGCATGGAGGAAGTCTTAATTTCTTGGTCCCGATGGGACTGAAGTTAATGCTGACTTACTAAATCTTGTTAGTAGTTTTGTGAGCTTTGAGTATGAGCAGTTGTTAGGGTCCTGGCAAGCTTTATAGAAGAAAGGTTGAATATGGGTTGCTTTTAGTTCCAGGGACAGCGAAGTGGGTGTTTTCTCTTTGGGCACAAGCATCTTACTCTTCTTGCATCACAGACTGGGTGCCTGAGTATCTTAATGGGCTGATCATTTCAGATTCTCTGGCTTGCTTAAATGAATCCTGCCTACTTGTCATCAGAAGAATGGGTAACTCTTTTCACTTGTAAAACAACTGGTTATATATCTATAGAGCATCCTTCTCTGGCCCCAATTAGGGGCTGAAGCCTATGAGACTGGACATATTTTGTGAGCAAAGACTTGGTAATTGAGCGTGTAAATGTGTAATTGTCTGTACAGTTATCCAATTGAGTCTTTTTTCTTCTTAGTTAGCATACAAAAAAGGGGGCACAGTCATGCAGGTGGGCAGATTTTGCAAACCCAGATGCTTAAACGTGTGCTTTGAGCTTACAGATGTGAACACCTTTAAAAAGATTGATCCAGTTGTGTAACCTCCTCTTTTTTGTTTTGATACGTTGATATGATAATCTGCATATTTTCATCAAAGTCTGTCACATAACATAGTTCTTGTGTTACCTCTGTCCTTTTTGCCTAGTAAATATGTTTCATTGGGCAGTTACCATAGAAATTGTTCTGAGGTTGCTGTTAAAGTGCTGGCTTTTAGTGAAGTGCTATCTTGTGCTTACAGTAGTTGGTTCTATAATACCTTTTCAATAGCTTCTATTCCATATATGAAATATTCATTTGAAATGTGTTGGGGTTTTATTGTTTTGGAGGAAAGTCTATTTAAATAATGGGACTTGTTGGCAGTTGCAGTCCAGTGCAACTTCTGAGAAGCAAGAGATGCCATTAAATTTGCAAATAACAGAAGGCTTGAAGTTTTCTCTGCACTCGGTGATTTCTCTATTTGGAAGCTGCTGATTTGCAAAGAATGAGAGATCTGGCAGCTTCGACCTTGCAACTCTTGTCTGTTGCAGTGAATAAAATCCCAAATGGCTCATGTCTGAGGTCTGCAATGTTCATTTACTGTGAAAGAAAACACAGTAATGCTGATTTTCTTTATAACATGTCCTTTCATATAGAATTGAACATTACATTCAGTCTTTTTGAGATGGCTTTAAAAGAAGTATACAGGAAGGTAGTTTCAGTAACATGCAAGAAGTTCCTGAATAGTGATAGAACTGTGCCATGGATGTGTACATGTGATTGACAACTTTATCTGGCCAAGGGTAGTCTGTTCGTATCAGTAGTCTGTTCATATCAGTAGACCCACAGAATGGTTCAGGTTAGAAAGTCCAATCCCCCTGTCACGGGCAGGGACATCTTTCAGTAGATCAGGTTGTTCAAAGCTACGTTGCAGCTGGTCTTGAACACTTGTGGCAGGCTTTGCCTCCCAAGCACATGGCAATGTTGTAAGTAACGCCTCGGACAGGGGTGCAGATGGCATCAGAGTTGGGGATGCTGTTTTAATCTGAGTGACAACCACTCCCCTAACACCCTTTTCTCTCTGTTTCTCTGCAGATGTCGCTCCTATGAGGATTGCTGTGGTTCAAGATGCTGTGTGAGAGCTCTCTCTATCCAGAGACTATGGTATTTTTGGTAGGTCAGGGTGTTTGGGAATTTTATGTCTGTCCTGTTCTCGTTTTGTTTGTAGGACTGAAATCAGGGTGTTGCCAGCCTCAGTATTTTAAAGTAGGGTACAAATATGCACTGTCTGTATACATGAATGTAAGGAGTGTAGTTTTTTGCTTAAAAATTCTCCTGATATACTGAGAAAACATTTAAAAATAGAAGTTCCTTGTTTCAGGTTGACCTTTCCTGCTTCTGTTTTCTGCTAGGCTGTGCAGACAGCAGTCCCATTATCCAGAATTGCTGAATTCCTTATGCCTGTCCCAGCTACTACCAAGCAGCAGCGTTTGTCCGCTTTTGTTGAGCACTCAGTTTTAAAAGAGGATTGTATAAGGATTGTGCATTTAGGTAGGGCTTAAGATATTCCTGCCAGCTGAATTGAGGCTTCAATTAAAAAGGAAGAGAAGTACATTTATGACTATGGGGATTTTACAGGAGATGACAGCAAGGCAAAAGAAGGCAGGAAGATCTGAGCTTGTGAAACCAGCAGCTCAATAATCTAGATGAAGCTTAAACTAAGCACTGTTATATGCATAATGAAAAAATAAGGTGAATTTGTTTTGGAGAGGAATTTAAGAAAGCACCTGAATAAAAGCTTCTTATTGCAGGAGAGAGAAAGCAAAAGCTCTCCTAGAAAACATGATTTTTAGGCATTTTTATGTAGAATTTGATTTGAAGACTGCTTAAAAGAAAAAAAAAAATCCCTCAAAATGGAAATGAATAAACACTGAGAACCAGAAGCCTGATCGTAATACAGAGATTTCCTGAAGCTGACTGTGGGATTTGGGTGTACAATCCTCACTGATATAACTGAGGAGCTCTACATCTCAATCCCTGGGGTGACGTTGTAAATCTGTGTTTTTCTGTTCAGAAGAAATCCTTTGCAGGAACACTGCCAAAAGGGAACGTATTAATATAGGCTTACGGAAGCAGGACCTCCTTCTGCTCTCGTTTCCACTGTAAAAACAAGGAACAGAATCTGACCCTTTGCATGAAATACAACTTGCTGCCATGCAGTGTCACACCCTTCCTCTTGGGCACTTGGAAATGCTCCAGAGGAGATAAGCATAGTGGGTAGGTTTGCCTCTGGCCAACTTCAGTGGTGTCTGGCCGTATTCCATCCTTTCCAAAAGTGCACAGTTGGCACTGCCTTCAAGTAAAAGGCCCTAATATGAGGTGGCAATTACAGGCAGAAGAACCATTTGGGTTTATGGGAGCTTGATTCAGTCACTTGCATGTCTGATAATGGATCAATGCAACAGTGAAAGCCACTGTCTGAAGAACAAAATCTTCTGACCTGCCCTTGCTGCATGTGCCCATTTCCATGGCACCCAGGCAAGGGAATGATGAGGACAGAGTAGTCAGGTTAGAAAAGGACCTGAGAGAAGAACTGAAGCAAAATTACGTCCTTTTCCTTGAGAATGTATATCCCATCTAGGAAGCACAAAGGAGTTTGTAATCTTCAGTGCCAAGTGCTTCAGTCTTCTGGCTTGAGTTTAAGTGACAGCTACCATGTTTCCCATGGGAAACAAAATTGCAGAGTTTGAGTAATTTAAGAACATCTGAACACCTTCTTTCAAGGGCAACTACCACAAACCTGGCCAGCCTGAATGCAGTAAGCATGAGGCTTATGTCCAAGATGCACAGTTTGAAACTGTACTAACCTGGAATTTCAGTTCAGCATCCCGGTGGCAAAGATCAGGTGTGAACTTTCCAGAAGTTCAGGGGCATTTTAGTTTCAGATTTCTATTTTACATAACAGAAAATATTGGACAATAGTACTAATTGCTGAAGAGGTCTATAATATATCCATAAGTGCCTCATGAGTGCTATTTCAAATGGCATAGACCTTTTTTCAAGAGACAATCTAAGAAACCCTGATAAAAGTCGTAGGCTGATGACTGCTAGATGATACTCTTGTTTCTCTCAATGAACAGTCGGGTATGAGAACTGCCTATATGCAGGTGGGTTTTGACTTCCCTTTTCTCTTTGCCTAGGTTCCTTTTGATGATGGGAGTTTTGTTCTGTTGCGGAGCTGGTTTCTTTATCCGAAGGCGGATGTACCCTCCTCCGCTAGTAGAAGAACCTACTTTTAATGTGTCTTACACCAGACAACCAGTCAACACTGCATCAGGTCAGACACAGCTTGTTAAACGAGTTTCACTAATTTCTTATATTTGCCAAAGCATTTAAAAATGATGGGTTTGGGGGTTTTGTTTGTCTAGGTTTTGGAAACTGTGGGATTTGGACAAGGGATTGCACTGCATGAAGCCATGCAGCTACCTCCTGTGACGAGTGAAGTCTTCTGCCCTTCAAACAGCATAATTCAGCTGCAGTGTACTGAGTTGTTTTGAAACTCAGAATGACAGGACTTTCAGTTCCCTTCTGTTTTGGTTCCTAATACCTTTACAGCTGTCTATACATGCATGGAAGGAGTGTAGCAAGTTCACACTTTGCAGCATAGACAAAATGATAGTGGAATGATATCCAAAATGAACAGTGACATGAAGAAAGATTTTTAAATACAGTTGGTAACATCTGTCAGAAGTGAAGGAAAGCCTAATGTTTTTCTTTCACAACCTGGCTATCAAGTATTCTCTTTTTGATTTGCCTTCCATTCTCTGTGATACAATTTTTCTGCAGCAGGGTGGTCCTTCTCCCCTTGTTAGTCTGGTTGCTGTCTCTGGCCAGTGATGGCTGTGAGCAACAGGAGGATCTACCTAGAGATGGCTCCTCTGGCAGTACTGCTTCCTAAGTTTCTTACTTCTTCCCCTCTAGCTGTTAGATAGTCCCAGTTGGGAGAATCCTGTGAAATAAGACTCACCTGTAAGCAGATGTTTGTGCCTTATGGGAGCATTTTAAGTCCAGCTCTCTCTAGTTGGGAGATCTTTTACAGTGCTGAGACTTTGAGTGCACACTGTGGTGCTTGCTTTCTTCCTGCCTCATCAAGGCCAAACCAAGACATTTTTAACCACTCTCCAGATTGCATAAGCCAGTGCTAATTTGTGCCAGCAAAAGTACACATGCAGGCATACTTCTGCACTGACGTTTCTGCTCCCAGGCTGTCATTTTACTGCACATTGTATTAGAGGGAGCTGAAGCCAGAGGATAATGAAACCTTTCTTGACAACTGTTCGTTTTAATTGGCAGTTGGTTTTGTTTCATACTGACTTGAGAGTGGAAATACAACTGATTTGTAATGAGAAGGATGATCTCTGAAAATTTAGTGCTTCAAACCTCTCTATCAGAAATTGCCTTCTGAGCCATTACATCTCTGTGCAATACTGTGGCTGCGTCAAGACAGCCTCCTTAGAAGTGTTCTAAAGCCCTTATAGCTACCTGTGACTGAGTGTTGTGCAGAGATGCAGCATTTGGGCTGTCCCTGCTGTCGTGCCAGCTAATGCACACCCATGTGCCTTCTGCAGGCTGTGGAAAAGCTCTTTTTTGCATCCTTAAGCACGTACTCATAGATGTGCATTTCCTCCCTCTTTCATAGGCCTAAATGGATAGAAAGATGTTACAGACACAAACTGACGCTTTATTCACCCTCTTTGTGTTTAAATCCTAAGAGTTGGGTTTTTTTATAGGGCTTCCATTCTGCATCTGTTTTTCTGCTTGACTGAACAAGCATTTCCACAGAGAGTATTTATTTTTCAACAGTGGAGGGTTGGGGAAGAGCCAAAGTAACTAAAGTCATAGTTTGAAGCCTGAAAAAGAACCTCAAGATTATGTGAACAGGGACCATTTTTGGCTGGATTGGCAAATACCAGATTTAATTTTAGAGCAGTTTTATGGTTTTCTGTAACACTCTGTGGAACACAAATTGTGGGTAAATAAAAAAATGAGCACAAGTCCCTTGATGACCTGCTTATGCCACCTGCATCCAGACTGTTATTACTGCTACTTAAAAGCTTTGGGCTCTGAGCTAACCCCACCAATTTGGGTTGTTGGTTGTTGTTTTTTTGCACTTTTATCCTGGGAACATTCAACAGCAAAAGCAATGGGAATTAGTAGTCAAACAAGTTAGCATTTTCTGCTAGCTCCTCTTCCGGGTTTGGGGGCAGTAGCCAGTTCACTGTTGTGGTGGAGCACTTGAAATGTGGCTCCTTGCCCATCTCTCTCCTTCCGTGCAGCATCTCCTGCCGTCCCAGCAGCAACCTGGAAGTGGGAGGTGCTTTTTCTGTGGGCCTGAATGGGAAAATGGACTGAACACCTCAAGTAACAGTTTGCAGACCTGGTGGTATCTTTCACTTCAGTCCTAACCTGCACAGCCCCAAACTGGTAGTTCAGGTGTTAGAAAAGGTCGGGTCCCTTTGTAGACAATTAGCAAATACTTATTGAGCTGATCCCATAAGGAAGTTGATACTCAGGTGTTGTTTCCTGCTGGGTTTAATGAACTGAAAATATATCTCAAAAGACTGGGGTCCACACTTTCCCCCTGCCTCCCCCCCTCCAAGTTTTAATGCTACACAGAAGTTTTAATGAAAACAGGTATTTTCCTCATGAGCAAGCTGCAGGGAGCTACCTCAACCTCTCCCATTTCCCCAGCAGAAACGTGGAGCTAGGCAGGGTATAACTTAAAACCAAAAATGCTTAGGAAAAATGCTACAGAAGAGGGTATTAGCTCAGATTGTGGAGAGGCAGGGCTCAGCTCCTGTTCCCAGCCTGCTTCCCCTGCAGCCATGTGCTGGTGCTACAGGTGGAAGCAGAACAAGGGCTTCTCATCACTGCAGCAAAGGGAGGGAGGCTGCACTCAGGCAACAGGAAAAACTACTGTGGTGGTGTGTTAAAGATTATTGTGTTAAGAAGGAAATAACTGCATTGCTGATCTGCTTTCCTCTTGAGTGCCCAAACGAAGCTCTCTAGGCAGACACCCCAGGCTCTGGGCCAGTTTGTATCCTCAACCCTTACGGCTTGTCCCATCTAATTTGATATCAGGACACCTTTTGGGGTTTGGTATGTAGCTCCTGAA